CAGTCCACTCCCATAATGATGGGTCCCGCAGGCTGGGCAGGTTGGAGTCAGGCTCTGACTCATCTGTCTGATTGGGTCAAGCTTCAGCTTCGTGTGTGCTTGGCTTAGCTGGCTTCCAGGGTCACGGGAGTGCAGAGCACCCCACCATTCTGCACCCCACTGCCAGGCTGTACCTGGGCTTCCCTTGCACGCCTCAACCATGGCTGAGGGAAGCTATGAGCCCTTTGATCTGCCCCCTTTGTCCTGAGGGCCCCCACCCGGGAGGATGTACCCCTTGACTCCTGTCTACTACCAGCCCCCCATGGCTTCACCAGCCCGAGAGCCCAGCAGTCCTTTTCGGTGGGTCTGTCCACCTCAGTTCCGTTCTTTTCTGTGATCACCTCAGCTCCTCCTGTATTATTCTGTATCACAAGGACTGTTACTCCCCACTGAGAATCACATACGATGCTGCTGTCAGGACCCCTCTCCCCAGGATCGTGCTTTCACTGCATCAGCACACACGTCAAGAAACACACTTCCAGCACCCAGGTAGCTCCGACCTGCTTCTTTATCCCATTGCCTTAAGGGCCTCACCTTCCTAATGCTATTTTCTAATGTATTTCTTTTATTTTTGTTAAAAATCAGGAAACTCTTTATTTCAAATGTAGAAGGAAGTGGTAAATGTAGGACACAACTGTTTTTTTCCCGGCCATCTGAAAATGATTTGATCACAGGATGCCCTGTTCCTACTTTTGAATTCTCCAGCTCCCTTTACTTCTTTTTGCCAATTGGAAAGGGCCCAAGGGACCATGAGAGGGCCAGGGAGGGGAGATCAAGGGATGTAAAAAGAAGACAAAACATGTTATGTGCAATACTAACACCCTGGGATGAATGTACTCATTGTGCACAGCAAACATGTACTAATAAACAAAAAATTAACCCAACCCAACGCCTCCCACTGCAATCTAAACATATTTGTGTCTCCTTCTGTCCTTGAATATTTTCTGTCTTCTCTTGGTTTTTGTGGTCTTGGCTTTGGGGGTCACAGACTGGTCCCCCAGTGCACCATCATCCTATTTGGGTAGTTCCATGGTCCTTTGGAGGTTAAACTCTGACCAGGACTATCCTGGAGGGACTTCCTTGTACAGGGCACATTCCAGGGAGCCTTGTTCCTGATGAGGTTCTCTGCTACCTCCTGATGGAGCAATATCTGCCAGCTTCTCCTCTCTAAAGTTACGCTGTCTCTTGATTAAAAAAAAAAAACAAAAACAAAAACAGGGAGTTTGGGAAAAGAGTCTCTGAGGCTATGTAAGTATCTGGTTCCTTATGAAACCTCAGAGTTGCTGGTCCCCAGACTTCTGGTGGCATGTGTCTGTTGTATGATCTTTTTTTTTTGTTGTTTTGTTTTGTTCTGGTACCAGGAATCAAACCCAGAACCTTGCTAGGCAGGCCTGTGCAGCTGGCTAGATCCCAGTCCATATTGTATGATCTCTTAGCACCACAAACTATTTGCATGCTCCAGCGTCCCCTGTCAGGTCAGTGTGGACCTCTCCTAGCTGGCTCTGTCCCTCCTTGTAGGCCCTCTCCTTCTCTGAGCTCTGCCTGGTTTCCTGGCGCAAGGGACAATTTCAGTCTTGGCAGGACAATTCCTTGCCCTAGCCCCAGAAGCAGCCTGTCACGAGGGGCCTGGTACAAGGTTCTTTCTTGTGGAAAATGGTATTTAGAAACCAATGTGCAGGTACTGAGTGTGCTCACTGCTGTCGCGTGTGTGATGTCCAGGCCGCCCAGCACCAGGAACACAGGTGTGTATATATACACACACACACACACACACGCACACACACACACACACACACACACGTGCTTGTCTACATTTGCTTCTTCATTGCTGTATCTCTGTACTGAAAAACTCGATGGTTCTTGTTCTAAGAGGCAGCATGGGTCCTGCAGCCCCCGCCTGTTACCCTTCTGCTACAGCTTGGATCTAGATGCCCCCCCAAAGCTTCATGCACTCACAGGTGGGCTGTAGAAGAGGCTGGACTATGGGGGGGGGTGATGCTGGCTGGGGCTGTGAATGTGGGTGAGGGTCTGTGGAACTGACCTGATTCAGCCCAGCCTGGGTGTGGCTAGTGGAGCCCTCACCGTGGGTGTGATTGGCACTGGTCAGCAGGCTGGGGCCTGGGTGGAGTAAAAGGGACAGAGAGAAGCAGGCTGGCTGCCTACTGCTTCTGCCTGCCCTGCCACAGACTGCTTCTCCTTTGCGATGCCCAATGCCCTGGAGCCAGCTGACTATGACTGAACCCTCTACAACTATGAGCTGAAATAAATGGTTCCTCCGTTAACTCAGGGTGTCAGGCATTTTATCCCAGCAGAGAGAAAGTACCTAAGAGACCTTACACACTGTCACGCTTGGTCACTTTCCCAAGCCCATCTTTCACTGCTGTCCTCCAACATGGAGATGCCCTCCTCCCCCACCAGCTGGCCCTCAGGGAGGCCCCTATATGATAGCCAAGCCTGGCTGGTCCCTGTGGGGACCCTGCCACCGTCCTCAGGGCTCTGGGGACACCGCCTCTGCCTGGTTCTGTGTGCTCTGGACTTCCCTGCCCTGTAGAGAAGGAAGAGCAGAGGCAGAGCCCCCGTGCCATCCTATGCAGCGTCTGCCTCTCCTCATGGTCAGCTCTCTCCCCTGGCTGCCTGGTCCAGGAGGGAGAGTCCACAACTTACCATTGCCAGCAGACCACTCTGGGGGGACCCTGGGATGTAGAGGAGGGAGAAACGGGTGCACCAGGAGGAAGGGTAAAGGACAAGGGGGCAACCTAAGATGACAGCCAAGGGACTCAAGAGCAGTGCTGCTCCTTAAAAATGTGACACTCACTAATGTCTCTGTGCCATTGCTCATGGGGGAAAGGACAAGATCTTGTAAAAAATCCACCCTTGTGCATTAACCTATGCCATTTTACCTATAAATAATTTTCTAGCTTTTTAAAAAGCTTGATAGTTTGCACAAACATTTCAAAACACGTTCTGGAACATTTTCACATGGAGCACGCGCTCTGATGGGATCTGAGTGTCCCCCAAAGCCCCTGTCAAAGGCTGAGTCCTCAGTGTGCTGCCAGTGGGAGGTCTGGGGACCTTTGGGAGGAGGCTGGGTGCTCCTCCTGGGCCCCTCTTGGAGGGCGATGTGGGCACCCCAGCGCCTCCTTCTCTCCCAGTGCGCGAACCTGAGTGGCTCTGCTCTACCACGCAGCCCCACCGTGCGTGCGCCTCACATAGCCTGAAGCAAGGGGCCCAGTCAGTCACAGACTGGAGTCTCCATAGCCTGAGCCCAACGTGTCACAGGATATGAGTTACTGAATGGCTTTTTCTTTTCTCTTTATTATTTATTCTTTTTTTGTTTGTTTGTCTTTTTAGGGACAAAGTCTCTTTATATAGTTCAGGCTGCCCTTGAGTTCAGGACGGCCTCCGTCTTATGGTGCACCTCCTGCCTCAAACGGCTACAACCTTTTTAAATTCAGGCTTACTGTGAAGCACTTGGAAATGCCACTTTGAATCGCTCCATTTGTATCTCATCTGTCCTCATACAGCCTGTGCCACCCAAAGCAGAGTCCTCTTCCCCAAAGACAATGCGCAGGCCGGTTTGGTCTTGGCGGACGACAGGACCTGCATCCCTCTTGCTGATGAGTTGCTCTCCCTGCAGGAGGTGACCCCAGCCGACTTCCGGCCTGGTGGCTGAGCAGCCCTGGGAGATAATCCCAAGCGCCGGCTGTGAGATCTTCCTCGTGTTATTAAAAACATTTTTCCAATTTGCCTTTATATTAAATTCCATGTCTACAGTACGTTTTAACACCCAATGTAACTTGGAAAGAAATGTACATATGGAAAAAAATTAGTTCACATTACTAATAGCTAATAATTTTATTTCTAACAGTATCATTTCTGATACCACTTTTATAAGAATGTCAAGGTCCTGATAATGATTTACAAGCAGGTACAGTTATTTCTAGAAATAAATTGAAAAATAAACTTTATTCTATGAAAATTCTGCTAAAGAGATTAAAAGTAGAAAAATACATGCTTCTTTGGAAAAACACATTTGTTCTCTTTAAAAAGCCACCTTGGCCTGGTATGGTGGCACATGCCTATAATCCTAGCACTTGGAAGGCTGAGGCAGGAGGATTGCTGTGGGTTGGAGGCCAGCCCAAACTATATAGTTCTGTCTTGAAAAAACCCGAAAACCAAAAAGGCACCTCTGTCTTAGCTCAGCACATTGCATCCTTGCGAGCAGGGGGAGCAGGGATCTGGGTGAGTTTGCACTGTCTTTGAAGCTTGCAGTGTCACTTGCATAGATCTGAACGGCTTGTCACAGAGAGGAACAGCTATGGTACATTGGGACAACCACAATTAAGTGGCCTCAGATGGGTCAGTGGCTGGGGAGAGCCACCAGAGCACGGTTGCTTATTTTTGTCATCTTAAGCTTCACTCTGGCTGCAGTCACACACTTCTGATATGGTGAATTTGAAGCACAGTATTGCCACCCTCACACTGCTTACATGTACACTTACATACCTTGTCATCTTCCTTTTCCTTTCATAAGGACAGTCAAAAAAATGGGTAGTTGGCCAGAAGGTTAAATTAGCCAGATCAACAAGAGACAGAGGCATGTGCTTTTTATTTCAACCTCCAATCCTGTGATGACTAATAAGAGGCATTAAATAGGAATTTTCAAATCTGCTTTCCTGGCCTGCATGAACACGCGTCTTTGTGGGTGACCTAAATGATTATGTGGTAGTGAAATTGGCTGTTTTGTTTCACAGGACTTGGCAGTTTAGGAATTAAATGCATGATGCCTGACAGCTGGCTGATTACGTTAATTCTGGAGAAACAATCTCTCAATCACCTTATAAACAGATTAAGTTTCTTTCACATTAAACCATTGTTTAAAAATAGGAAGGCACAGTCTGGTGTCTGGTCCTAAAATAGCCCCGCCTGTTAGATGACACAGGAATAGGATGGCAGTGTCTCTACTTTCACTCATGAATGGGACAGTGTGTCCATCCCAGCGGCATGCAGGACGGATGGTAGGGTTGGTGCGTCATTCAGGGTTCACTAGAGAACAGGCAACACCAGATATGCAGATGCGTAAAAAGCTGTGAGAATGGCTTGTGACACTCAGACACAGAGTCCGATGGGGAAGCGTGCAGAGACTGTCTGCACGCCGGAGGTAGAGGGCTCTGGCCCAAGGTCTGGAGCTCACGGCATTGCCCAGTGGTCCCTATCCAGAGGCCGATGGGGCTGCGACAGAAGGCTGAAGAGTCTACGCCAAAAGCCGAAGAGCCTGTGCTGGGAGCCAGGAGATGAAGATGAAGACCGGAGCTCCTCTGAGGAGCAGGAGCAAGTCCGTCCTCTCTCATTAGCCCTGTAAACGCCCCCCTCTCCGGCCGAGCTGTCCTTCGGTGTGGAATTGCTGAGCCAATTTAGTTAAGCTTCTGAACTTCCCAGATTGACACCATCAACCATTGCAGTAGGGAGGAGGTCACTGTTTGGAAGGAGGGTCCCCCTCCGTGGGGACTTCGGGGCACTCTCCTGCAGGGTTTCCTCTCTTCCTTGTCTCTTAGCTGCAGAGTCAGTTTTGATGAACAATCCATCTAATGTCGCTTGTTTTTTCCTGCAGTGCACAGCCCTCCGGAAATGAGATACCATGTTATCATTCATCAGACTCAACACCCTATTTGTTACAATTTTGCTGGTGTGGTGCTTCTCAGAGAAGCCCTGGTGCTCATCCCATTTTCTGTAATGGGTTTTATCCCATCGCTGTGACCTCCTCCCTGTCCTCCTCTTCCTCAGGGCTGCTCCTCTTCAAGCGCCTTCTGCTACTCGTTCTGGAGCTCAGTGAGTTCTTTCACCGTCAGCTCCCCATGGTCTTCAGCAGGCTCCTCTGTCTGCACCATCGATGTCCAGAGCCACGCTCCTGCCCATGGACACAGTCTCCTCCATCAGCCATGCAGCAGACCCCTCAAAGTCACATTCAGTGATGCAACCTGGCCACTGTTTCCAGGCTGAGCTGAAGGTCTGGTATGTGACACCTTCCCAGGCTTCATCAGTGAGGCTGATGCAGCAGAAGACACTGAATTGCTTTCCCGAGCTCTTTCAAAGCACTGGCTAGTCTCTGGGCTACAGGGGAGGTGTCCTGTTGGGGGAGGCACCTGACCTTTGTGACGTTACACTCAGCATCCCTCTCTCCCCGAGGCTGGAGGGGGCCATCAGAAGGGAGCACCTGACAGTTGGTTGTCAGAGAGGTGTTTACCGGTGGTGTTTACCTCTCATGCAGGCACATCACAAACAGTCACTTGTGACCCAAGCTTTCCCACTGGCCCCCGCAGGACAGCACCTGGCCTTGTTCGCATTCCGTTCCTGGAATGCTGAGCATCTGGGAAGGGTCCACCAGCAGCAGCTCAATCTGCAGATCAGTGCTGCTTTCACACGTAGCCAAAGGGTCGCTCTGCCTGCAAGGGCTTGCGCCTGGCAGCGCCTTTTCCTCCCTGTGACCCCGGGCTGTTCCAGTGTCTTCCCCCAGAAGAACCCTGTCCCACTGCTGCTGGGCGTCTGCTGAGCAATGGATCCTTCAGCCTGCACGAAGTCTGTGGACTCTTTCGTGCAGGCTTCTGCAGCAGCCTTGTCAGAACTGGGAGCTGTGCCCTGTCTTATCATGCTGTGGACACCACTTCTCTTGTGGAATTTGTCAAATCACCCTCAGCCGGCTTCCAGTTCATCACTTCTTGCCCTTGTAGAGGAGCTTCCCGCAGCGCTGTGCAATTTCCTGGCTTTTCCACCCGTCACAGCTTCACTAGCCCTGCAGCTGTTTGTCACTCAGCCACACTAACAGAAGTTTCTCCACCTCTTCCTGCACTGTGTCCTCTGCTTGGTCAATGTTCTTATTCCTTCTGCCACTTTGAATCACTTTGATGCCTTTGATGGCATCTTTGTTCTTCAAAGCAATCACAGTGGTCAACTTTGCTGTCTTGTGCTCCAAGGCCACAAAGGTCACAGGAGTGCCATGCTCATGACTTCCTATGGTTTCCTTCTTCAGTTCAGTGGTTATTCTCCTCAAAACCTTAGCATTCTTGCTCTGCACTTTCATTGCTGCTCTGTGCTTTCTTTGGCACCGAGCTGGGCTGAATAATCCTGTACAGCCCTGTAGGTGCTAAACAGTACACAAAAGTGCTCCCCACAGGTGTGCACAGGTCTCTCTGTAACCACAGTCCTGGCCGCAGGAAGCTGCAACGCATGTCAGAGTGGCTGCAGTCAGATTTGTCAACTTATTTGGAGTTTGCAAATGGAAGCAAAATTTTGCCAAATGCTTCTCTTCATAAGCTGAACTGTTCATAAACAGAAGCATTTGTGAACCAAAGTATTACTGTGTTAACTTGGTGAGAGATCCACTTTCTATGGGGAACTGTATCAGGATTAGGTGTCACTCTGTTTGATGGAAAGCTGGCACACTAAAACGGCTTTAAAAGGTAGTTTATTTGTGCCCTGAAGTTAGGTAACCAAGGCCTTTCAAGTCATTAGGTACCAGGCTCCATCCAGTTTTCTTTGAGTTCTTGACCAAAAAGGCTGCTATAGCTCCAGCCATCATATTCAGTTTAGGCAACAATATCGAGAAAGGAGGAATTCTCTTTTGAATAAAAGCTTCTGGGGTCCCACATGGTACTGTCATAGCTCATTAACTCTTAGCCATTTCTTAGTACAAGGGAAACTGGAAATGTCTCTGAGTGGGTGTGTATTCACCCTGGTGGGCTGGTAAGGCAGTGTTGTCAGTTCATCTGTTTCTGGAAAGGAGGGGAGGCCAAGACAGACAGATAGGGTGAGGGGTGTCCGTCTCCCTCTTGTCATGTGTATCATGCTTATAGTGGCTGCCTGCAAAGTCAGGTGTGGGAGAGGGCAAAAGGTCCATTGTGTACAGTCAAAGCATCCAGTCTGAAGTCACAGGCCTGGAGCTCAAAGCAGAGTTCCGAGTGGGTCTGCAGCAGGAGGGTGCAGCACCTGCACTGGAAGTCTGGAGATGGGTGTCCAAGGCGATGGTGAAGACCACAGTCCTCTGAAGAAGCAAGACTTCGTCCTTCTTTCCATTTTTATTCCATCCAGGCTCCTAAGCTATTGGTTGGTGCCACCCACACTAGGGCGGGTCTTCTTCCCTCATTTGGCACACACAGCCTGTGTGCCAATCATCCAGGTCAGACCAGCACTGTACTCCACTAATGTGCTAGGTGGTTCTTATTCAATTGACACCTCAGTTAATGTCAGACCATGTGACCCCTCTGCTGCCTTGGAACTCTGCTGGCAAGGCCACGACCAGACAAGGGCATCTGACCTTGGGCCAGAACCCAGGAGCAAAAGTAAGTCTTTAAAAAGCTGAATTAGCTTGCCTTGGGTATTTCACCACAGTAACAGAAAAAGCCGTGTTCTAGGAAGCCGCCTGGGATTCAGGGGTTGGGGTTGGGGTTGGGGTGAAGGGTGGGGTCCCTCTGCCTAGTTTCTTGTGTCACTCACTGGGGGGCTTCCTGAGGACTTCCCTGGGGAACTCCTGCCCTACGTTCTGGGGTGGCAGCTAGCTTTTCCTCATCTCCCGGGGACATGCAGGCTTGTGGCTTCCTCCTCTCTGTCAGATCAGCTACCACTTCTCTTCCGGGAGTCGGCTGGAATCCCTTGGCTCTGTGTGAATTTTCCTGTTTCCCTATTCTCTTAATTTGTTTTGTTAGAAAATGGAATTACTCAGCATCTTAATATTTATTTTAAAATGGGGTCTTATTAGTAATTACACACAGATTTTTAGCATTGTCCGTAATGTTCAGTGGCAGTAGAAAATAAAGAACTATGCAAAGTAACAAATTCTAAGAACCAAAAAACGAAAAGTCAAACAAATCTTAACCTTGGTATTGAGTGTGTTCTTTTCGATGGTGTTGGTACTTTCAGCCTACACTTTTCATGTGTAGACTTTAGACTGCTGTAGAGCTCTTGAGTGAATATGGTGACTCCTACCCCTGTGGGGTGAGGGTCCTAGGACCCCACATAGGGTAGCTCTGTGGACATGCAGCTCCCTGTGTAAAAAGGTGCAGACCCTACATGCACCCTCCCAGATCTTTTAAATCACCTCTAGATGACTTATACTAATGAGGTGTCGATGCCAAGTAAAGGGGAGCTGTATACTGCATTGTGTAAGGAACCACCACACGGAAATGGAAGTCTGTGTGCACTCAAGACAGAGTCAGTGTTTTCTGTATTTTCCATCGTGGTTGTTGAACCTGCAGGCATGGAGCCCACAGTGGGCGCTGGCTGTGGGGCTGCTTGGGGAAGTGGCTTTTTCACAGGAGGAAGTGGCGTGGCAGAACCCTGTGTTGTTGGATTTGATGCTCTGGCTTTGAACACCAACCACCCTGTGTGCTCCCTGTGAGGTGGTGAGATGTTCCCAGATGCATCTGGATCTCACTGGAGAGCCAGCCACAAGGGAGGTCGGACTCATACCAAAGGTGGAGGCTTTGAGGATCTCTCCAGAAGACTGGTCCTAAGAGCAGGGGGAGGTGATGTGTTTGCCTTATGGGAGGGAGGAAGCAAGACCAGCAAGATGAGATCACACACTACTGTATTTAAGTTTTCAAAAAACTTGTTACTGTAGGAGAAACTGTCACGAATCTCCCTCAAAATACTGCCTCTCTGAACACACTTCTCCCATTGTTCTTGCTCCTTCCTGAGAAGCAATGCTGGAGTCTTCTTTCTGTCTGCAGCTGTGCTGTGTGGCTGCTCAGTGTCCTGAATGAATTTACATTTCCTTTTCATGGCCATATTGACTCTAGGAAGAGGCCAGAAGTCACAGGGTGCCTGTCATGACTTGTATTTAGATGTCCCCCGAAGCTGCATGTAGTTGTAGTGGGGAGTTCTGAAGGTGGCTGGATGAGATTGTGAGATGCTGGGATTAAAGGGGCTCCAATTTAGGTGTGGGTGACATTGCCCCCCAGAGCAGGTAGCTGGGAAGAATACACAGGCAGGTGTGGCTGCTGTGGCTACCGCGGCTGCTCTTGCTGCTTCCTGCCCACCCTGCCATGGACTGTTCATCCCCTGAGATGCCCTTGTCACACCACCCTGCCTTAGAGTCAGCCAACGATGGACTGAACCCTTTACAAACTGTGAGCTGAAACGACTTTTCCTCCTTTATCTCTGGGTTTCAGGCACCTGGGGTCAGGTAACTAGGATAGCACCAGATCCAGTGAGTATGGTGGAAGAGGACTCGTTCTCAGGTTTTCTAAGCTTTCCTTTCCTTCAGATGCCACTCAGCAGCAGCAGCATTCACCACACTTGTGGTCACACCTTATAAAGACAGGAAGGACGGAAGACAGGCTTTCAGAAATGCTCCCGAGTGGCAAGAACAGTAAGACAAGTGTGTTCAAAGCAAGAGGGGAGGTTTGAGGGAAATTAACACCACTGCCACCTTTATGGTAATCAGTGTTTAAAAACTTTAAACACTCATCATATTTTGTGATCACAATGTGTACGCCGACCACAAAAGTGGGGATCTTTAGCTCTGCTCTAAGTTTAAAGGAACAGGAACTGCTGGACACTGCTGGGACAACTGGGTGAAAAGTTAGTTCTCTTCCTGGCTTCCAGCCCGTGTCCTTGAGTAGTAGGTGCTGGGTGACATCACCAGGGCTGCGTTCACATGCTTGGAGTCCGCAGGGTGAATGTTAAGTGAGTTCCTTGCACCACGAGTTTGAAAATTCCAGATCTAAAAAAGTAACGTTTAAGTGATGTCAAAATAGACAAGAAACTTTAATATGTGAAAAGATATTTCTCAGGGCTGGGCCCTAACCTGGGGTGAGGCGAGTGTTCCACACTGGGTGACACCCCGCCCTCTTCCAGAGCAGCAGACCGGACTTCACTTTGTGAAATCGTGGCTGATGCAGCTGAAAGAAAGAGGAAAGGCGAGGAGGATGCCCTGGAGAAGCGGCATCTCCTGAGAGCCACAGAGCCCCCTCGGCCTGGTTTTCTCCAGTGCTCATCTTCCTCCTTCCAATGGCCAAACACTCAGACCCAAGCTGCCTTCCTGTCCTTTAGATAGGGGAATCACCCCACATTCCTGTCTAGAAGAGCCGGGGATCTTAGGGCTGTGACTCCCTGCTGCCGCAGCCCAGATCAGAGGCCCCGTTTTGAGAAGACGCTCACTGAGGATTCAAAGCCAAGCTCTCCACAGGTGGCTGGAGGACAGAAGGTGCTAGAGGCCTAGGCTGGATTCCCCTGTGCATATCACAGAGTGGAGGGGGACAGCAAGGTATGGGAGCTCTTGTTCATATGTGTGTTGGCAGGATCCCAGAGTGAGAAAAACATGAAAAGGAGACCAGAGCCTTGTTGATGCGCTGGGTCTTTACTGCGGGAGTGGCCAGGTGCAATCTACTCTCCGATGCTCACCGTGATGGCTGCGTGTGAGGTGTCGATTTGAGTGAGAGCCAGCCAGAAGATTATCAAGGGTCTGGGTTACCTCTGTGGGTGACTGACACATGGGCCACAAACTGAGGACAGAAGACCCAACCCCAAAGTGGGTGGCACTTGACCCAACCCCAAAGTGGGTGGCACCAGACTTCACGGAGGCCAAGCACAGTAAAGAGGGAAAGAAGGAGCTCCAGTCTCACCACGGCCATCAGTCGTTGGTCTTCAGCCTTCTCATGCTGACTGTGTGGCTTTGCAGCACAGACACTTGTGGCGACTCTGGGTCCTCCAGCTCTCCAGGCAACCATACGGGATTCTTCCACACGTCTACCTCCCCAGCCAGCCACTGGGAGTCCTCCCCTTCCAATCCCGTGTGTAAGTTTACATATATTTTATGTTGAGTCTCTTCCTCCAGTGAACCCCAACTAACACACTTAGGTTAGCTGTGGCTTTTCCTTCCACCTGTCTCTGAGGTTTTCTTGGAAGAGGAAACTTAGATGCCTGAGCTGCTGAGAATGTGTTGGGGTGTCGGGGCTCTGGAACCTGCAGACACCAGAGGAGCCAGATTGCTCCCACTTTTAGTTACATCACCTGAAATATGGCAGTGGTGATGCACATCCACAGGTATGCATGAGTACAGTGCACACATGTGTAAGGTATATTACAGGAGAAAACTATTCAGGGAGGCTAAAGCCACTCCCTCCTGCCTCAGGACCTCTGAGCTCCTGACTGTGAGCCTGCACACACATGCGCGCGCGCACACACACACACACACACACACACTTATATTTTTAGAGCAGTTGGTGCACTCAGGTGCCAATTTGCGGATACAGATGTGATTAAAATATGCATGCTGATTGAGTCAGTCAGCTTGCTGTTACTAACACAAAATACCTGAGAGAATCAGTTTACAAAAAGAAAAGATTTGTCTTGGCTCATAGGTTTACATTCCATGCCTGGATCAGTTGGCCCCATTGCTTGGGGTCTGTGGCTAGGCCTTGTAGCAGAGCAAACCTCATCTCATGGCAAGAAGCAAAGACCATGGAAGGGGCAGGCATGGAATCAGTGTGCATTTTGTCCTTAAGATGTTGTCTGGGTCAGTGCTTACAAGCACATTCTGAAAATGATTCATCGTATTCAAGGCCTCTAATCCTCTTCTCAGAGCACACCCTAGAGAGACAGTGATGAGCACAAGGACAAGGTTTTTCCATCCTTATTTGTGGTGACTAGGAGGGCATTGAGGGATACAACCAGGACTCCTGCACAGGAAGTTGCTGGAATGACAGGTAAAAGATTTCTTTTGTGCTGTCCACCTGCCTTTTATAAAAAGTTATTTTTAAAGCCAAGAAACTGTTTCGAAAAGCCAGAATATTCCTCCTAGTTCTGCAGCTGACATCTCCTTCTGCCTTGGTTTTCTGGCAGCCATCTGGACAGGAGTCTTTGGGCCATGTGTGGATGGCCCTTGGCCAGCTGGTTCCTTCTAGACACTCTAGTTTCTCTATCCTGGATTCTTCCAGCTGCTGTAGCCACCTTCGTTCTTTAACTGTCCCTTTCCTCCATTTCCGAAGTGTATCCCTCCACTGTTTGCTGTCACTGCCACCATGCCTTCTCTCTGCCCTTGTGATTCCTTCAGGCAACCCAGATAACACAGGATAATCCCAAATCTTAGGGTCCTTACCATAATCACACCCGCAAAGTCCCTTTTGTGGTATTGAATCTGTTCTGCTGGTGAACCCTAGCCAACATACTTATTTCAGCCATGGATTTTTCTTCCACCTGACTCTGAAGCTGTCCTGGAAGACGGCACTCAGACTCCTCAGATGCTGAGAATGTGTTGGGGGAACACTATGATTCATATCTGGATGTCCCTCTGAAGTCTCATGCCCTCAGAGGTGGGGCTTTTGGAGCACACTGTATCAGAAATCAATGCTCACAGTTATGGGGATTAGACATGCACTTACTTGGGAGAAAGGCCACCATGGGGGCCACCATCAGAGGTAGGTAGTACAGATCAGCAAGTGACTGAAAGATACTCTCAAGACCTGGGTGTAACAGGAGAAGGGCATTACAGTACAGCATGGGCAGTCATGAATGGAATCTGCTGAGTCACGACCCTCCAGAAACCTCACAAAAACATGTCAGGCATCCTGTGGCTGGCTGTCTGGGTCCTCCCCAGAGCAGGGTCAGGCAAGCCTTTGGCTCAAGGGCACATGGGCACTGTATGACCACTGTATAGCCTGGACCTTGAAAAGCGTGTAGTCTCCTAAAGAGCAGAGACTGTACCCCCTATGCGGTGGCCGGAGCTCCCTCCAAACCCCTGAGCAGCTTCTAGTTCAAAAGCTTTCTTGGGTATCCTGTTCAGCACCCCCTCCAGGCTGGCAGGAGCTTCACTTCTTTGCCTTTTGTATCTTTAATTTTGGGCCTTTTTATCTTTTAAATCAGTGAGCTTGCACTCAGTCTCCCCTCTCTGTGATTTCATTCTCATCACCGTGGAACAGGATCCTGATGTTCAGGCATCATCAGGACCAGAGAGAGGTCCAGTTGGACTCTTTCCTGCTGCTCCCAGCTCTGGGTGCCACAGTGGGTCTGTATTAGTTTATTATATAATTTATATGTAAATATTCATCTTATAAAACTAGAAATGGCCTCCTGTTTTGTTTTTGGTGGTTCTGGGGATCGAACTCAGGGCCTAGTACATACAAGGCAAGAATTCTACCATGGAGCTACCTCCCCAGCCCGAAATTTACTTGACAGAACTAAGTCTTGTGGCTACCTTCCCCAACCGCAACCCTCAATTCGTCTTCCCCTTGTGCCTCACAGGTCAGCACTGTTCTTTGCTTGATACCATCACACCAGTATCTGCATTTACACAAATTTGTCCCCATAGAGAAAATAGAGCCTTGTATCCAGCTTCCCTGAATGTAGACAGTATTTTAATATAATTCTGCCAGATGCTTTGGTGCTCAGCTGTGTCTCTGAGATCTTTCCATGCTATCACACATAGGTGCAACTCATCCCTTCCCCTCCCCTGCACAGTATTCTGTGGTCCATTCTTGTAGCCTAGCCTATTTTAATATTATCCTATGCTGCATTTGTCTTCTTGGCATGTACTGGAACAAAATACGAGAAACTCAGTGCTTAACACAATGGACATTTATTCTCGTACATATGGAGGTTAGCAGTCTAAACTGGACTGCTTAGACTTAGAGAGGGCCATACCTCTCTAAGGCTCAGAGACATTCTTACTTCTCCAAGCTTCTTGAGACTGTTGCTGCTCCTTGGATTGTAATGATATCACGCCAGTCTCTGCCTCCATCTTTACATGGTTTATGCCCCAGTGACTCTTTCGTCTTCTGTTCTCTTCTAAGGACACTGGCCATTCTCTCCATATAAGACAATGTCCTACAAATATTTTAGTCACTTCTCACATTCCCTTGGCTGAATCCTGGTTCCATGGCCCCACTCAGCCCCAAAGAAGCCTGGGAAATGTAGTCTTTAAAAGGGTATGGAGAGATTCTACTACTATGCCAGCAATATGGAACATATATGTGGGTAACTGGTGGCCTGTGCCACCCTAGGGTTCTCTTCATTGTACCCAGACTGTCATGAGGACAGGCTTATTGAAATTATGTTAGTGCCAAATTATCTTTGAATGCTGTCATCTAGATTTATATGCCCACCAACAAGGTCCATGGGCATGTAATATCTTCCTCCATACCATCATCACCATTAATAAAAATAAATTTTAAAAATTTTGCCATTACAGTGGAGATAAACGACATTTTTATTTATTTATTTGTCTTTTTGAGACAGAGTTTCACTATGCACTTCAAGCTGGCTTTGAATTCAGTTTGGAGCCCAGGCTGTCCTTGAACTCACAACGATCCTCCTGCCTCAGCCTCCTGAGTACTGGGATTACAGGCATGCACCACCATGACCAGCCAAATGACATCTCTTTAAAGTGTTTTCATTTTCATGCTTTTTAGTGAAGCTGAATATTAGTTAACATACTTATTGGTCATTTCTAATTCATCTCTGATTTTTCCCCACTTCTTCATTTCCTCCTACTAAATTGTGATTTTTTTCATAGATGATTAGAAGGAATTCCTTACAATATGTTCAGTATTAATATTTGTCTGTCATAACTGTTACAAATATTTCCCCCAACTTTGCACTGTCTTTCCATTTTGTTTTAGGGTATATTTTGTCAAAACAGATGTTTTAAAGATGTGTTATCTAAGTCATCTATAAAGTGTTCAGTTTAAAAAGCAAACTTTGTTCCTAAGGTTTTTGCACCATAAAGCTAGAAAATTCTGGAATGACTAGAAAGAGTCTTGCCCCCCAGGAATGACCATAATGAGGACGTTGGAAGCTGGCTCGTGTCTTGTGGCCCCATCTCCCAAACCTCAATTCGCCTGCTTCTTCCACGTGGTCTGAGCAGTCTTCTTGTCGTCAGTCAAATGAATGACAAGCTTTTAGACAGTCCTTGGAGATCCAAGCCTTTAGTTATGAGGAGCAGCCTTCCATACCATCCATTAGAGTCTCTGCAGCGTCAAGGCACTCCCACACAGAAAGTGCCTTTCGAGTGGGCAGAATTTGCTGCATGCGTGAGTTGCAGAGGTTTAATACAACAGGACCAGTGCCAGAGCCCTCTCTGAATAAAACTAGATGGAAGAGGGCGAATCTTTTCAGTCGTTCCTGCTGGCAGGGGTTATGGTTTCTATCAGGATGTCACCCTAAAACCTCATTCAGTCATAGGCAGGACTTTTGAAAGGTGCTGATCACAGGAGCCTATAGCCGGCTTGCTGTGGGTCAGAAGAGGTCGGGCACTGTGGGTGTGGCCCAGAAGGTTCTATCTCCATTCCCAGCCCCTCCCTCACTCCCTGCTTCCCAGTCACATGAGACAAGCAGTGTCTCCTCCTCAGTGCTCCTGCATCCTGCCTGAGAGCCAGCTGACCACAGACTGTAAACCTGAACCAATTAACCCTCTCCTCTTTAAGTTTCATGTGTTATTTGTCCCAGCAAGGAGGAAAGTAACCACAGCACAGATTTGTCATGGAGTCAGGGAGGAAGGGAATTTCAGCTACCGCACTCACAATGAACACTGGTGAGGGTTCTGTCCCCCCCCCCCCCAGAAGGGACCACCTGAGCTCATTCTTTCTGGAGTCACTGGAGGATGCAGGAGATGTCAGTTGTTAATCACGCACTTGTAGGTAGTGAGCCTTGAGCACTTTCCAACTGGTGGAAGAAGAAGCAGGAAGACAAGATACGAATGCATGTTGGCAAACCAACATGTCCACAAATTTTTATTGAGTGTGTCCTATAGGCCAGGCACTGTTCAGAATAAGGACAGCTGGAGAAGTGTCACTCCCAGCCCAGGGACATATGAGATGAAGAATTGTGTCTCATGACCTGGGCATCTAGAACTGATAAGTCTTTGCACTGAATAAACGTGATTTTATTGTAATTGGAAGAAGAGCCCTGGGGCAGTGTCAGGACCTTGTTATAGTGCTGCTGTACATATGTGCTGGGGTGGGGGGTAGCTACCACCTAAAGACAAATGCTATGGTTTAGGCAAGCATCCCTAAAGACCCGTGTGCAAAGACATGGACCCCAGGTATGGTGATGTTGAGAGGTGGGGGAACACTGAAGAAGTGGAGCCTAGTGGGAGGAAGTGATGTCACGGAAGGTAGCCTTGAGGGGGATATGGAATTTCAGCCCTTTGAAGAGGCTGTTCTCTTCCTGTTTTCTCTCCTTTACTTCTTGGCTCCCCTAAAGCGCCATCTTGCCCACCATACACTCTGGCCACAATGCACTTTGCTCTGATATGCCCAGAGCAACAGACCAAGCAACCATGGACCAAACTCTCAGAAACCAGAAGTGAAAATAAACCTTGCCTCCTTATAAGTAGATTGTCTCAGATATTTTGCCATAGCAGTGGAAAGCTGACACAACTCCTGGCAAATGTCCCAGAGGGAAGGAAATATGTAACTTTGAATGCATCTGTTTTCATCTCTGTTCATCTGCAGCACACGCAGGTCCTGAGAGGCAGCGGCTCTTCCTGGGGAGTTAGCAGGGCCAGGGCCTACAGTGACGCTTTTTAAGACAAACTTCTGGGCTTTGGTGGGCGCGGTGGCGGATGGGGAGCAATCAAGCAATTGCTGTAGGTCAGGGCCTCCTCTTCGGGGATCTCTTCTATCTCTTGAGGTGCCACGAGGGGGCCCCACCTTACATATCTGATTTGTAACCTCTCTTCTACAACCAACACCTCCATGCAGGTCTTCTCCACTGGGATCTCCAACATGCGTTCTGGCCAAGTTTCAGCCTCAACTATGAGGAATTGTTCCATGATGATGTTCTCAACTCTCAGCTCCTCTGTTCTGAATAGAGGGTCTCTGGCCATCGTGGGGTCCGGGCTGACCACTCTGATGTGACATGGGAGTCTTGGGACCTGGCACAGCTCCTGCAGCTTCCCCACTCCAGGATCCAGGGCCAACTCCAGGAAGTCACCGTGTGCAAATAGAGGAAACGTGGCCAGGGCATTGGTAGCAATATTTTGGCACCTGAGGGCATCTACTCTGTGCAGCTCGCCCCCCATCTCAGCTGTGACCGTGCTCTTCTGCAGAGTCACAAAACACTCATTGGTGGCGAATGACGTAAATGGCTCTGCAGGGGAGCTGTAGTCCCTGTGGGCCCGGAACCGGACCTGTCCCTGCTGTGCAGCCCTGGTGATGTCGGAGACCATGCGGAAGTAGCGGCCTCCCCAGAGCACTGAGCCCTGGTAGGTGGCAGGGATGAGGAAGTGCCGCCGTGTCCTCCCTCCAGAGAGCTCTGTGACCAGGAATTTGCGTACTTCCCTGGTCTCCAGCACGGTCAGGAGCTGTCCACACTGCAGCAGGAAGGGCTCTGCTGTGACCACGCTGGTGACCCTGACTCTCAGTGGGAACCGGGTGCGCTCCATGCTGTAGATCTGTCTCATGGTCATGAATTTGCCTGGGTTCTGTCCTAGGCCGGTCACATCAGCCACGCGGATGTCCAGGTTGGAGGGGATGCTGATCTCGTATTCACCTGGGGGATCGAGAAGGAGGGGCGGTCAGCAGGAGGTGCTTCCTACTTGATTCCCATGTCACAGCGAGTGTTAGGGAACCACAAAGTGTGGGAGGCCTGAGGGCAGGGCTTGGCACCTCCCGCCTTCCTTCTAGAATGGACAGGGCTAGAAAGATGCTCTGACCATCCTGAGAAAGGAAACCATCCTGTGCACTGGTCTCCGAGGGTTGAAGGTCTTGGGTGGTGGTTCTCTCATATGATATCAGTGGCATTTCCAAAGATGAAATATGTTTACTACCATTACTTTAAAATAAAATATGTGATTATTTTTCAATTTTTCAGTTCTAACACAGAAACTCTTTGCTAGATAGATCCCACAGCAACTAAATTAGACACCCCCTCCCCCTCACCTTGTTAGGGTTGTAACCTAAACTATAAAACCGCTCAGGTCTTTATTTTCTGAATCCAATGAATAAGGGTAACACTGACCTCAGCGGGCTATTGAGATGAACTCAGTAGCAGTTTTAAAACTTGGTTTTGTGGTCTGGGAATCTATGTTGGTCTGACTGGGTAGCAGAACCACTGAAGATCCCCTCCAAAGACCTGCATGATAGCTGGTGTTGGTCTCTGTCACACTGGGCTCAGGTGGGTCTCAGCCAGGACCTAGGCCATGTGACCACGCTGCTAGGCACCTCGATGGGGAAGGCCAGGCATTTGACCCAAGGTTGAAAAGCATCGCTTATGTGTACCACAATGGTGTCTGCTGTCTGCAGTGCCCCTGAGCTAGCATTTCTTTTTCCTCTCTCTCTCTCTTCTTCTTCTTTTTGGAGAGAGTATCACACTATGGTCCTGAACTCCAAATCTTAAGCAAGCCTCCAGCCTCAGCCTCCTGTGGGCCTTTGGTTGGAGGCATACACCCGTCTGTCTAACAACGGCGTGTTTTCAGTCATGATGTGCATTCTTCTTAGTACAAATTATGGAAACTCACATGCTATGAGTGCCTGATGCGGGGAAGAAGCACGAGGGAACTGCTTGTCAGGACTCAGTGGGAGAAAGGAGATGCAGTTTTAAATCCATGCACCCAGCTTCAAGGCTTCCCAGAGTCCACCGGGCATACAAAGCACCTGCATCAGCCGGGCCACCCATCCCTCCCTGAGGGCTCTGCTAGGAACTGTGATACTGCTGACTAATGGCATCTGTGTTTGTCACCACTGTCATCTTTACTCAAAAGAGGGGGCAGAGAAGAGTGACAAGTGGTCAGGCCATGGTGGAGGGGGTTTGTGGGAGGCCTGATTTATTCCTGATACAGCCAATAAACAGAGGCAGAGCAAACCAAAGCATGGCCCAACAACTGCAAACCCACACGCCGGGGCCCTGCCATGTTACCAGATCCATTTTCCACAAACACTGCCTCCAGGAAGAGCTCTTCTGGCAAGTTCAAATTTAAGCTGGCTCTAAATTTATGCTCAACATGATCTTTCTTTTCTGCAGAGGGAAAGTAAAATGATGCAGCCCATGAGCAGACAGAAAGGTGCACTGGAGTTTGGCATTTGCATGGACTAGAAACGAGGTCATAAAATTAATGTGCAGTGCGGGGCTGGCCTTTACGACAACATCTAAGAAAATGCACCGTTTATAAACTTGCTCAAAAGATAAACTAGTTTGTCCTGCCTGGAGCCCATCCAGCTGTCACCTTGAAATGAATATTTATTAAGGGAATCAAATAAAAGCACTTCAAGTGCACTAAAGGAACGTGTTTAAATGTGGATGATGACAGCAGCATAACAGGTGACAGGATGATGGGCTTTTAAAATAATAAGCTGCCTCCTTTGGGCAGAGTGGTTAGGAGTATGTTTTTGGCATCTTTTAGTTCTTCTTAAATCGAGGTGAGAAGTCAGTGAAGTACGAGGTAGGCACTTGCTGGGAACGGCATCTTTGCAGCCATTTCTGGAGTACTTGTTCATGGGTCTACAGGCCTGTGGGCCCGGCCAGTCCCCTGCCCTGGAGTGGCAGCTATATGTTGGATGACAGGGTCTTCGTGAGGCAGGCAATGTTCTGCTGTGCTGCTCTGCTGTGGCTCAGATATGGTTTGTGCCTGGCCCCTAAGGTCCCCGTGTTGGATGCCTGGTCCTTAGTAAGGACATATTGAAAGGTGTAGGTGCCTTTAAGAGGCAGAGCCTACTGGGAGTCCTTGGGTCATTGGGGGTGGTGCCTCCTGGAAGGTTAAGGTAGTTCTCTTGGGGTCCTGTTTAGTCCTCAGCAAAGGGTTGTTATAACAGAGCACCTGACTTGCTGTGAGATTTCTCTCCCTGGCACACACCTGCCGTGATGCCATCTACCATGGAGCCTCCCTCTGGCAGGCCCGGTCCCAGGCTGTGTGGATATTCAGCCTCCAAAACAATGAGCCATGCAAACCTCTTTTCTTTATAAACCTCCCAGCCCTCATATTGTAGCAGCGGAAAGCAGGTACGTGCCTGCTGCCAGCCACTTCACCTTACCTGGCAGAAGCGCCATCACCAAGAAAGAGGGATGCAGAACCAGATGACCATTGAAGTGCTTGGGGACGTGGGGACTGAGAGTTTGCAGGCTGTTCCCCCGAGCCACCCTGACCCTGCGGGGCCGGCCCGTGAGCAGCTTCTGCCGCACAATGGTGTCCATGGTGTAGAGTTGCTCGTCCTGGCACTCCTGGAACTGGCCGCAGCAGTCCAGGGGGAGCAGCAGCTGGAGCGGGGGCTGCCTCGTCGCCAACTCGCATCTCAGCAGCTGCTTCCCTTCCCGCTCTTCAAGGCCAATCAAGGCCAGTATTTGTCTTTCCTTGAGCACCTTGGACAGCTCCACGGTGGCGATGGGCACCAAGTTCTTGAAGTGGGGAAGGCTTCTTCGGGGTGCAGGACCCTGGGGAACATGGACAGAGCAGACTAAATCGGCCACTGTTTTGAATGGGACTGGATCTGCAATCAGCCGGAACTGTCCTGCAGAGAGAGTAACAGAAAACAGTGTTCAAATTATTCCACCAATGGGAATGGAGGCAAGAACCGTGGCTGCGACTTGGGGACCCAGGGCCATTTGGAAGTGTGGTGTTTGTTATTCCTGCATTTTAAGTGTAACTCTCTCTTTCTAACCTGCTGAATCAAGGAACCCATGGGGGACCCCTCAGACTCCCCACACTGCCCCGCATGGGTCTTTGCATCTCTCCCATTTGCTGTGAAATAGTTTCTGCATCTCAGTCTTTTCTTTCCCCAAATATTATACACCATTTCCAGTGTTCAGAATCTGCTGCTATTTCCCTGGCACCATGAGATCACATCCCTGTCCCTAGGTGTGTCCTGAGACTGCATCTCCCATCACTGTCCCACACCTGCTCCAAATGCAGGGACAGCTGGCATCTCCTCCTGAACAGGCCCTGCCCCTCTTGCCCTGCCTGGAACACTCTCTGCCCTCTCCCTGAGCTGCCAGGCGCTTTGACCCTGGGGAAGATCCTGTTCCCTTGCTATGGTTTGGACCTCAGATGTCCCCCAAAAGGCTATGTGTTAAGGACTTGGTCCCGAGCTAGCAGTGCCATTGGGAAGTGATGGGGCCTCATAGGAAGAAGTGAGGTAACTGGGGCGGGACCCGGAAGCCCGGAACCTGTCCCATCCTCATACTCTCCACCTCTTCACCACAAGGTGAGCCGCTGTGCTCTACTATATGTTCCTGGCATGACGCTCTCACCACAGGTCCAGCGGCAATGGAGCCAAGGGACCATGGACTGAAGCCTCTGAAACCATGGACCAGAAGAGGCCTTTCCTCCTTTAAGGTGATTATCTCAGGGATGTTGTCACATCAGTGGACACCTCTAAAGGAGGACTTTGGTCCACCCATGGATCACACCTCTCAGGGACTGTGTGTCAGTTTTTCCGGCTTCTGTTTGGTCCGTGTCAGTGAGGTCTTCAGAGTTCTGGGATCACAGTTTATGAAGGCACAGCTCTGGCCTGAGGAATCCAGTGTTGGCTGCTAACTCAGGCAGCATGAGGGACATCAGTGTCCTGTGACCATGGCCACCCAAATGGGAGCTCAGGATGGATCCTGCAGGTGCTGGGGTATGGAGGAAGCCGGTCCTGGAACTAGGACTCTTAAGTCATATACATCAAAAACTGCCTTCCCAGTCTAAGCCAGTCAGTTTCAGCCATTGGCAACCAAAGATGCTGAGGTTCCCTTCTTGCCACCACAGTCATTATTATTTGCCCCAATCTCCTTATTTTCTGGAAGGTTCTATGCCCCTTTTGTAGTGTGCACCTGCACCTTCTTCCTGTGCACAAGGTCATTTATCCCTCAACTTAAAGGTCCTCTAAAATGTTCCTTCTAATTGGAAATTTTCACGGGCCAGATCTTTTCCTACATATTAAAGCCACAGTGTTCTCAGTCATATCAACAAATATTTGGCTGTGAGTCAGCTTTCCATGACTGTCAACATAGTTGAAATGATCAGTTTAGAAAGAAGAAAGGTTTATTTCAGCCCAGAGTTTTGGAGCTTTCAGTCCATGAAAGGCTGAATATATTTTAGGCATCGTGTGTGTGTGTGTGTGTGTGTGTGTGTGTGTGTGTGTATAGCACGTTTTAGTAAGAGGTGTGGTGGGTCAAAATGATTCACTTCATGATGGCAACGCAGAAGAGAAAGGAGAAAAGACTATGGCCCCATGATGCTCCTGAGGGTCATCCCTCTAATGACCTAAAGACCTCTTAAACGTTCCCACTTCCCAATAGTGCCACGCTGGCGATGAAGTCCTTAACACATAAGCCTTCAGAGCGTACTCCAATCCAGGCTATAGTACCCCCCCAAACGAGAAAACCCCCAGAAAATTCAACAGAGAAAGACATCACTAAAAGAGAGCCAGGCAGGACAGCAAGTTATCTCTTTAGGAAATCTCAGCCCACCATTTCTGAACCTGTACCCAAGCCACAGGATTGGATACTGACCTAAGTTAGCTAATCAGAGCAGCCCATTACCTGGGCCACAGTGATTGGTCCAGAGATGACATGTGACCCAAAGAGGCCCTATCAGCATGCACTAGGACTTGGTATTGTAAGTACTGGGATTGTACACTAAGGCAACACATTGCTTGCCTTAATGTGCCACTAAGGTGGTACATTGCTCATGCCCACCTCCCACATGAGATAGGAAGTTATGTATAACAGGTCTGAATGAGGCCAACTGATGGAAGCAGAGCCAGACACTGAGAGAATAAAAGAGACGGAGTGACTGCATTGTTCAGGCTCTTAGACGAACCCCAGACTGCTAGGCAGCTTACATGCAGTAGACACAATGCTCTGGTTCTCACAGCTGTGGAAGCAGGGAAGTCCAAGACTAAGATTCCAGTAGATTCCCTGAGTTCTGAGGAACTACCTCCTGGTTTGTGGGTGGCTGTCTTTCTCCTTTGTAGGCTACTTAGCCGTAGCAGGAGGGCTGCACCCCCACAGCCCAATCACCTCCTAACACTGTCCTGGGGGCTGGGATCTAACACACAAAAGCTGGAGGCATGGGCATCCAGGGCACAGCCCGGAGAGACAGGGAGAGAAATGGGGGTAGGAAAAGAGTTTGAAATAATGGATATGGCCTCTGGAGCTGCTTGAAACCATGATCCCTCGATCCTGGCTATAGGACCAGGGCTTCTCTTTCTATCTAAACTATGTCAGCTGGTTCTGTGTCACTCCCAGCTGAAAGTCTTTGCTAGTAAATGGGCCTTGAAGCTCTGGAACTGACCAGCGCTCCTATGTCTGCCTCTATGTGCGTGCATGTGACACGTCACCTGTGCATGACAAATATTCAGTAGTGGTAACAATGGCTCTGTGGCCACATGCCAATGAATGTGACCAAAATAACTGAAGATTTGGGAGTTTTAGTTTAAAAAAAGAGTATTTCTTAAGAGTTAAGAATACTCATTACAATAGCAGGGGATTTTATTCTTCTGTTTGATTTTAATCAGTAAGCTCTTTTCTCCTCTCTTTTGTGGTACTAGAGATTGAAGGCAGGGCCTTTACACTGAGGTACATCCTGAGTTATTCTAAAATTTTGATTTAGAGTCTCTTTGCCAAGTCCCATGCTGGACTTGAACTTTGGATTCAGCTGCTCAGCTTCTTAGAGTGCACGTTTATCTATTATTTATTTATTGTAGGCCACTTTGCAGTACATAATGGATACATTTCTTGTGGGGAGTTGACTCATGTACGTAACACATTCTTTTTCATTCTCTGTGCCTCCCTTCAGGGATATTTTATTTTTAAAAGCATAAAGGAATGCTTCTCCCACAAAAAGCACAGATAACAAAGAGATAAATTGTACTTCATGAAAATTAAGAATTTTTGTTCATCAAAGAACACTTTCAAGAAAGTGAGAAGACAGCCAAGAGACTGGGAGACAATGTTTGCAAATTATACACCTGACAAAGGGTTAAAACCCAGATAACAGATTGAAACCTACAACATATAAGAATCTATAAATCTATAATAAAGCTCTTCCTTCCAGGAAAAAAGTGACATCTTATGTTTCTTGTTTTAAAAAAAGGAAAGAAGAAAAAAAAGTTAAGCCCAAAGAAAATCAGCATTGCCTGCAATACCACCGACAGTCAGAGCTAACTCTGGCTTTGTACTCCGAGTGTTTTTCCTAAGTATCATACATGAACCGTAAACTCCGGTACTGTCTTATCATCTTGCAGCATATCTATCTACACAGTGAACTTCAGATATTCTTCGACTAACGTCACTTTTAGGGTGCTCTATTTCATCACTGTGTCGCCTCTCTTGGGGAGGAATATTGAGCTTATTTTCACACTTCCCATTGTACGGAACAGTTAATGAACCTTCCTGTCACAGAATGCACACGCACATTTGAAAACATGCTCTAGTTACAAGTTACCAGGTGTGAGATGCTGGGCTCAACAACTTTTTAAAAAAACTGTTAAAGAATTATGGAAACAACATTCTTTCATTACATGAGATGCATAAAATACACACAGGCTGAGAGTCAGAATTAACTCTACACCTCTTCTAGAACTCTAAGTACTTTATTTTACTTTCTTCTGGCGTTCTGTCTGTGCATTAAAACAGACTAAAGTCGATCATTCTGCATGATCTTCTGTTCAGCCGCTTTCACTTTCCCTCCCATGACAGGGTGATGCATGTCTGCTTCCTGTTTCCCTGCGTTCTTCTGCACTCCAATTCCCAGCTTCAAGGATTCTCCCAGAGGAAAAGCAAGAGCTGCCTGAACGCCTCCGTGCTGCAGAGCTCAGGAGGAGGCTGGCCCACTCTGTGGAGCCAAGGGTGAGGCTGGCCAGGGGCCCCTCCCTGGGACAGGATGGCGCTGTGGGCAGTATCTGCCCTGCCAGGAAGCCCAGGGCCCCTCCTGGAAGGGAATTCCGGGTGCACGAGGGCCCTGTCCTCCTCAGGTTTGTAAGGGAGTGGGAAGAGGAAGTGAGGAACAGTATGGAAATAACTGTGGCCCCAGGCTGGCCCTCAGCAAGGCCACCAGGGCGGAGGGACAGCTGGGACCAAGGCTAAGGAAGGGCCAATCCCGGGACAGGTGCTGGGCCGGGGAGCTGCTGAGGAGGGAAAGCTGGGGGGCGGGGAGGGTAGGACGCAGCCCAGAGGAGAAACTGAGGTCAGGGTGAGGAAGGTGACAGGCCAGGTGGGGGCACAGTCAGCCTCAGGTGGGCTTGGGGTTCACACCAGATAACCTTTCATGTGATGGGGGAGGGGAGGGAGAGGGGAGAGCCAGGGAGCAGGGAGCGGTGCTGGAGCCACTCTGGGGTGGACAAAGGACTGATGGAGCTGGGCAGAGCTGAGGGAGGGACAGACAGTGCCACCCGAGGGTCACTTCCACAGGGGTGTGCAGGCTCGATTCGGACTTTGGTTCATTTGAGGACACAAGCAATGTCCCTGTGTTCCCCCAGTTTATGGGTCGGCTCAGGCTGAGGTTTGGATATGTGTCCCCCAGGGCCCATGTGTTAAGGCTCAGTCCTTGGCCCACGAGGTGGTGGCACCTTGAGTGCTTCTGGCTATTGAGAGTCTCTGAAAAGGATGGCGGGACCTCTGCTCCCTCCTCTTCCTCTCTCTCTCTTTCTCTTCTGGGTCATGGGGAATAATTACACCACCTGCCATGATTGCTTCCTCCCAGAAGGCCCCAAACAATCGGCCAACCCATCATGGACTGAGACCTCTGACTCCAGAGCCCACATGACCGTTCCTGTCTATAAGTTGACATCTGTGTGGAAAGCTGACTGTTGGAAATCACTCCTCTGCAAAGTTGTTATTGCTGTTATCATTTGATATTCCAACTGGTGACCAGAATTTACTTATCCATTCTTTGGAATGAAATGTAAAGGTACAAATAATAAAATATTTGATCACTGAACATTTTAGTGTCTTCCATTTTTCATAGTAAATAACCACTGTGTTGAATGTATTTGTGTTCATCTTCTCTTATTATAGAATGTATTTTGGCCGTGGAAGGACTGAATAACTTTAAGAGTACTCCTGTACATTGCTAAGCTGTCACCAAAGCAATCTAAACCAGAACGTATCGAGCATGACTTTATTCTTGCCGATATTGGGTCTTCTCAATTCTGGGGCTCCCTGTCCTGGGTGCTGCTTTGGGAAACCTGACTTAGAACCTGTGGTGTCAGGACAGTACTGGAAGTGGACTCCAGAGATAAGACTCAGGTTGGGTCACTCCCCAGCTGGCCTGCAGGGAGGACCCATCCCCAGTGCCATGTAGCATGGCCTGGTTGCCATGGCCCCATGTCTTCTGCAACTGTGAGACCAACATCACCCTTCTTGCAGAGTCCAGTAGTATACTCCCCATCTCCATGTGGGCCCTGAGAAACACCACTAGCATCCATTGTCCTGCCAGCAGCTCCTTCATGGAAACCTCTGCTTTTTCTAGCATGTGATTCATAATTCTTCCGGCTGTAACTATTACCCAATGCCAAAGCTACTTCCACATTTCTAGATATTTGCTATGGTGGCACTTTGCACTCCAGTACCAAAATCACAACAGCAGCAGCAGCAGGTGATAGCTTGAAAGGGGCCTCAGGCCTGTGCTCATAAGGACCTGAAAGCTGCCCCACCCAGGAAGCTTGGCAGAGGACCCCCAGTGCCACAGGAGACATCTTGGCCAACACCATGATTTTATCTTGGGGAGACACTTGGAAGAGAATCTAGCCAGGTCGAGTTCAGACTTTTGACCAGCAGAAACTGGGAGATAATACTTGTGTGTTGTCAAGCTCTTGTTTGTGGACACTTACTTCACACAGCAGGAAGCCCCTACTGTGCTGGGAGGACGGGTCTGCAGAGAGGCTGTGTGAAGTCTTCCCTTTGTGGGTCAGGGCCATGGTGGGAGATGGAATGGAGAACCTAGCTTCTCAATGGTTCTGGGGAGGACAGGCCAGAGGAGCTGAGATTGGACCATGGAAGATGCAAAAAGCACTCATAGCACATTTGCACCCTCATCACCTGGTCATCTCTCAAGTCTCCACTGCTGACACCATCACCAAGGCTTGAGTGTAGGGGACACAGCGTTTAGACCTAGTGTGAGGTGAATGACATGAAAACAGTTCCTACCCATAAAAAAGAAAAGGGGCTCAGAAGGGACACAAAAAAAGCATCTTACAGAATTTCGATAACTGAACTATATCTCTCACTAAAAGTCACCAAAAAAATCGAAATGCAACATCGTCATTTAGCTATCTAACAGGCAGTAGTTTTTTCCTTATAATTTTTGTTACAAGAATGCAGAGACACAGAAGATTTCACATTCCCTGGAACAGTGTGAGTTGGCACAGTCTTCGGTGATGTTTAACTCGCCTTTAACATGTCTATAACCGAGGCTTTTTAGAGCAGTCAAACTCAGATACTACCGCGCAGCCATGCCATTACACACTGTGAAAACCACACATGCGCAATGCCACCTGTGAATCCTAACTGAAGACTCAGATTTGACTTAGCGATGTGGAAGAACTTAGGGTCATCACTTGTAGCAAATGCACCACCCCAGGTAAGGCTGTGAAAAGCGGTGGAGCCTGAGCAATCTCTGCTCTGCTGCTTGGTTTTAGTGCACACCTAAAGCTCTACACATAGTTAATAAAAGAAATTTTTAAAACGTATCTGACATACTGTCTAACACACCCATTCTAAGGAAGTTATCAGAGATGTAAACTAAGCTTCCCACCCATGTGTGTTCCCTGGTCCATCATTTACAGCTGGCTGAATACACCATCAATGTCATTTGGGAACAGTAGGCAACTGTTGGTGTGGTCACAGGATGGACTCGTGTAGACTTCAACAATGAGCAGCCTTAAATCACGAAATACATGCTTGTGATGTGAAACAGCTCAAGGTAGTGCAGCATCTACATTCTGATCTCAGTTCGTGCGTCCCGGATGGACTACGTGTGCCTGTACTTGTACAGGTGCCCCCAGAGGGAGGCTACAAGAACACACATGCTCAGTGAAGCCACACACACGATCTTCCTGTGTACTGTGCTGTACTGTTTAAACTTAGTATTACAAGAGATCGAGAAAAGATGGCAGATAGATAACAGCAGCTACGGAGGCTCCCTGAGATAGCCAGCTTAGATTCCAAGAATGGTGCGGTGTGGGGCGTTCTATGCAGGGGGAGATCTACCCTGTCGACCCAGGAAGGAACAAAGCTGAGAGAAACCAATTGAAAATGCACTTCAGGTGCTACGATTGGAACAGCTAAAGTCTTGGTGCCGCTGCCAGAACTCACAGATTGAACTTGTTGCCACTGCCGCACCTGAATTGGTTTCAACTCACTGGAGAGGCGAATGCTCTGATAGAGGGAATTGGCGAACCAAATTGAGAGCAGAACTGGCGGGGAATCCTGCATCAACCTGTGGTGAGTGAGAGGAATAGGGACCTTTCCATAGACAAAGAGGCTCCAACAGAGGACATTCTGGGACCAGGCAGACTGGCCGGAACAGGGTGCTGCAGTGACTTCAGTCACATATGCCCTTCTCAAGCAGGATTGGTGGGGAGCGCTTGATCTGGGTGATGCCACGGACTGAGGCCCAATAGGCTAGCCCAAACCAGGTCCCTGCAACTGGCAGTGCAGTCTAACGCAGTGAAGCCTTCAGTAGGTTGACCTGGAGGGGTGGGCCCAACATAGGCTGCCTGGGTCTATACCTCCTAGTACACTGCAGTGGGTGGGACCACCTAGTCAGTGCACTTCAGACAAACTGAAACCGATAAAGAAAGAAACTGGGCCTCCTATATACCCCTGTATGGAAGGAACAAAAAGTATGGGAAGAGGGAGCAACAAGAAAGGGTCCTCAGTCCCCAATCCTGAGAACAGGATTGATCCAGGAAAGGTAAATGAAAAGGAGAATGAGGACAGAAAACATGCAATATCAGGCATAGCACCAATAGACATAAAGCGGTATCTCTGGAAACTCATAGACAAGTTCAAAAGTGAAGTATTTAACCAAGTGAAGTAAGATATAAGTAGAATAGTTAATGAAATGCTAAGCACCTCCCAAGAAAAAACAGATGGTAGAATGGAAGAAGAAAAAAAGGGGAGAATTGTTTGATGGAGAAAATAGAGAAAACATACAATACATGAAGCAGGTTCAAAGATATTACCAGGAAACTAAAAACGCTATTGAAAGTTGGCATAACAGCTTGAAAGAAACTAAGGATAGATTATCTGAACAGGAGGACAGGTTTGTAATGTAGGAACGTGAAAGGAAAAACTTCTTAAAAATGACAAGAAAACAAGCAGTAACAGTACAAAGGCTAGAAGATGACAAGAGAATCTATAATTTAAGAATAAAGAATGTAAATGAAGAAGCAGGGGTACAAACAAAGGAATTGCAAAGGCTATTCACAGAAATAAGGAAAACTTCCCAAACATAAGAAAATGTAAGGATGCTCAGATGTATGAGGCATACAGAACTTCAGCCACCTACAATCAAAACAGAACTACACCCAGGCATATAATAATCAAGATTCCAGAAATTCAATATAAGAACAGAATATTAAAAGCTGTTAGAGACAAGAAATCACTTACAAGGGAACACCCATCAGAATTACAGCAGACTTCTCGGCGCAAACCATCAAATCTTGAAGATTGTGGGGCAAAATAACCCAAGCTTTGAAAGAAAATAACCTCCAGCCAAGATTGATATATCCTGCACAACTGTTCCTAGAAATTAATGGAGAAATAAGGTGCTTCCAAGATAAAGAGGAACTGGGGGAATTCGCAACCACCAATTCAACTCTACAGAGAATACTGCAGGACATTCTAAAAGAGAAAAACACCAAGATTCCAGAAACAGTGGCAGAGAGGGCACAATGAATGGAGCAGAAAGTGAAATGAAGAAGACAAACTGACAACTAATGACAGAAAAAGAGCTTAACAGAGATGAGGCAGAGAAGGTTGGATATAATTTCTAATATAGATGGCCTAGATACACTAACTTAAGGGAAAAAAAGAGAATCGCAGGCAGAGTGGCTCAAGAGGTAGGGTCCTCCAAGAGGCTCTTTATAGGGAATATAATTAGCCTGAAGGAAGTTATATGACCAAAGTCAAACACGAGAAAACAGAACTCAATGTGATAGGGAACCAGAGAGTAATAGGGGTAAATAGACCAGAATTTATGGATAGGTTGAACATACAGGCTTTAATAAATGAAGAAATATAACTAGAAATCCAGCCCAGGAGCGAGAAAGTTCAGAAACACTTAGGTAAATAGCAGGTTGACCCCCTAATACAAAACTGTGAGTGTTGGGGAGACCCAAAAATACATAGTTCATCCTGGGGAAGTAAAGGGGAGGAATAAATAGTCTTCAAAAAAAAACCAGCAGAAGATATAGCTAATAGTGTATCAGGAATTAAAACCCCTATTACTCACACCACTCTGCTTGGTTGGAACTTGTTCCGTCCTAGTTTGTATATAAGCACGGGATCTGAGGGGCACAGACAGCTGTCCTGAAGATACCAGAACATAGCACAGTGGTCATCTTTAATTTCCTATTAGCTCAGTCAAGATCCCTATATGACTTATAGTTGTATCATGACTGATCTTAGTTAAATCTGACTTGTTTGATTGCTGCTTATCATTGACAGATTTTATTCAAAACTGTTAGGTTGCTGGTATCAAGTTGAGGAGTATAGACAACGATACTGAAAATGACAATGATTCACCACGATTTCCATTCTGATTTGATTACTACCTGTTTTTGTAGCTCTACATTATCTACAAAGCTGTATTTCTGTTAATCCTGTTATGAACTGACATGTTCAATTATACTTTATCTGATGATATAGCCAATTCTGTTGATGATAACAAGAGACAGCACAGTGACCATGGTAGAACTCCTTGTACAA